TCTCTCACACGCACGCACGCACGCACACACACACACACACACACACACGCGCACTCACTCTCTCACACACACACACACACACACACACTCACTCAATTTAGGTCCCCACCGTGACACGAGTCCCCATGAGTCTGTGTGTATTCAGGTTTAAGTCCCCACACACACTCACACACACAGACACACACACACTATCCCCCGGTTTCACAGACAAGGCTTAAACCTAATCCCAGACTAAAATGTAACTCTGAGCTGTTTCAACTGAAAGAAACTTGCACTGATTGATCTTAAAATATATCAGTGCTATTGTTTGGTCTTAAAATGCACACCAGTAATGCAATTTTCTAAGGCATGTTTATAATATTTTTTTAAATGTCCTAATTGAACTATGGCCTAATCCTGGCTTAGGCTAAACCCCGTCTGTGAAACCGGGCCTATATTTCTTTCGCGGAGGCATACAAAGCTCTGTGCTCTCTAATGCGAGTGCCACTTCTGGTGTCTCTTCAGGTGCGAGGACAGAATGAATCTCTGGCCGCACGGCTCACATCTGAAGGGCATGTCTCCGGCGTGATACAGCACCGGCTTTCTGTAGTTGCACACCTGCGTGAGTTTCTTGTCGCTGTAATTGCGCTGGGATTTCTCTCCGGTGTGAATCTTCATGTGACTGGTGAGGTTCCCCTGGTGCCTGAAGTTGTTCCCGCACTGCTGGCAGGTGAAGGGCCGCTCTCCGAAGTGAACGCTGATGTGCTTCTCCAGGTCTCCCTTGCGCGTGAAGCTCCGGTCGCACTGCGAGCAGGTGAAGGGCTTCTCTCCGTTGTGAATCAGCAGGTGATTCTGGAGGTTGATCTTCTGCGTGTAGCTCTTGCCGCACTGCAGACACGAGTACGGCCGCTCGCTGTGAATCCCCATGTGATCCTTCAGGTCTGCTGCACGCTTGTAGCTCTCTCCACAGAGCGGGCAGGAGAAGGACTTCTTGGCTCTCTTCTCCGTCTGTGGAACTGCCAAACTGTGAGGATCCTCCTCCTCGTCCTTCTGACCGTGACTTTTCTCTTCTGTTAGCTCTAAAAGTAGGTAGAAATCAATCAGAGAGTAAGAATATAGTTAAAGAAGACACATGAATGAACCTCTGGACTGAGGAACAAGAGATGCGTCATCAAACGCTGGTAAACAGACGCATACAACACCATGATTGATATTTTCCCGCTATTTTAAGCTGAATGAACTAAATCTCCCAACCTGTGTGTTCCTGGGTTTCTTCTTTGACTCTGACCGGCTGCAGATCAGTCAGATCCACGCTCTCCGCTTTAATGAGCTCCATCCTCACAGAGTCCGGCTGATTCTGCTGTTTGTTTGGAAACGAGTCATCGATTACGATCGAGATGAGAGGGAAGATCAAGCCCAAAGAACACAGTCAGTGTAACTTAGTAGTGTTATTATGTTTTTGGAGCACAATCCGTAAAGAAACGTCAAGGTTTTGTCTCGTTTTATACACCTACAATGCTGAAAAGCGCAGACCTTTATCTAGCTGACATAGAAAAGAGCGCGGGCGCAGTGCTTATGACGTCACGCGGAACGCGCCGTTCAGAGAATGCAAATAAAAGTCCCCCCCCCAAAAAAAAAATCAAAATGCGTACAGTCATGGCTTCATTGATCTCCTCTTAAAGGGGTCATATGATGCTTTTTTAAAGATCATTATTTTGTGTATTTGGTGTAACAGAATATGTTGACATGCTTTAATGTTCAAAAAACATATCTCTTTGGTTTTGAGACTTTAGTCTTTGCAACTTCAGGGATCTTATCTATGCACAATCAGCTTGTAACACTCCAAAGAGAAAGCAAAACTTGAAATCGCATCATATGACCCCTTTAAACTCTCCCGATAAGGCCAGTTTCATACAAAAACAATAAAAGTCTCTAGGGTAGATATTTGCTTTCTAAAAACCCGAGAGACTCGTTTGGCTTATTCTGCTGCTTCTCTTTATGTCGATGCTCAGACTTGTGGAAAAATAACTAGCATTGATAACATTGATTAGAAAGTCTGTAGTAATGAACTCATTAATTTTCTCAGCTTTTCTACTCGAAAAAAATGTGTCGCTACTAGCAACACCTTCTGTTTCGGTGTAGTAAGGGGACTTTTAATTTGCCTCTCCGAGCCGACGCGTGTTGATGTGACGTCATTCGGGCCGCGCCGCGGCTCCAGTGTTTATAGCGTGGCAGAGGGTGCGTCCGAAATCGCATACTGCTTAGTAGGTACTACATTTTGAATTTGAACGTACTACTCGACCGTTAAAAAAGTACGTTCTATATAGTATGAATGTAGTATGAATGGAATTCGGACGTAC